AAGGACAACGAACAGCAGCTCCGGAACCCTCCTCCTCAGGATCTACCAGCTTACCTGAGCGTGCAGGATTTCCCCCTGAAGTGTGCAATGTCAGGCACCAACCCGGTCCATGAGAAATTCAAACGTTAAGCTCTTAGCTGCAAGTGATGCCTCCCTCTGCTCCTAAATTTTTGAAGCTATTTAAATATCAAACAAAATTATGAGGAAAACAAAGTATTCTTCAAAGAACATTTTGGGGTTTTTTTTTAAAAAAAGTTAATGTTTCTGCCCTGACTAATCACAAGCTGAAAGGAGTACTTGATGACTAGCATATACTTCAGTTAACACTATTTCATAAAAGCTGGCTTGACAGAAGTACAAGATAAATCTATCAAATAATATAAAAGTTGAAAGATGCACCAGCTGGCTTGTGCTCAAGAAGAACTCCATCGCCTCTGAACGGGAGGAGAGGCTGCACAGAGCGACCGACCGAGCAGGCAGCGCAGCGCCACAGCATCTTCATGGGGTGCTGCCTTGCTTCAGGACACGGCTCGTGACAAAGAGACCACTCACACATTTCAGATAAACATGGGCTGCTCTGGATTACACTGATGGACACTACGCTATGGAGCATAAAACTCTGAAGACTCATTCTTACAGTTTAAGGTAAAGGACTCTCCTAACGAATGCATACTACACTACTGCGTGTGTAAGACTTGCAGTCGCTGTGCTGCCTGCTTGGTTTGCACCTTATCAGGGCTCTCCATGAAGGCACAATTTGTAACACCAAGGTAAAAGCCATTCACAAACAAGAAACTGTTTCCTCTTGAAGATAACAGTGAATATTATTTATTTCTCTCACAAATAGCATGTATTCTTGTTCTTTATAGTATTAAAGACCACTTCCTTATGACATTTGATAAAAAGCCAAATACCATAGACGAGATGTTTTTGTTTAACATCAAATTCTTAAGCTCACGTGTCTCTACACAAAAAGCAATGCCTGTGACATAACGAACCAAGTGAAAACAAGTTTGCAATGCCTGTGACATAACAAGCCAAGTGAAAAAAGAGTTTACAAAGTGCTAAAGAATGATTTAAGGAACATTCAGTTATTGACAAATGGTGCTAAGCAAAGCCTGGCTTGGGATGGAAGTATTCTCTTCAGTACCCACAGGGCTCAGATGACTTTCAATGGCAAGATTGAATTGAAACCAGTAACACCTCTGACATAAGAATGTGATCAGAAATCTATCCATCTCTTTGACCATGTAACGTGCAGAACACTAGCCTGTAATTTAGATAAATTACGTTTACCAGCTTTTCATACAAAAATCTAATATGAACAAATAAAACCAAAAAACTTTCACTGCACAAAAAGCTTCCACTTGAGCCTCCAAGGCTGGTCATAACAGAAGTAAACTCTAACATCTCTCTCGGCGCTTAAGTGCAAGACCCTATACACTAAAGAAAACACATCGACTAACCCACCACCATTGTTCCAGTCTTTTTAGACACATTATTCCTTATTTGTAATGTACACATCATTCCACGCAATTCCAGCTGTAGGTTCTCAACGTTTTTTATATACACAGAAAACAGAGTACAGCACCAAATCTGGTTCTGTCTTTAGACTGAGTGTTGGTAAGTCTACAACCTGGAGCTGACGACTGGGAGCATTTTTCTTATTTTCCTCAGCCAAAATGTAACCTAAATCACCTGCTTGACCAGACTTCAAGAATTAAAAGCATGATCCTGGCCTACTAAACAGAAGTCTCCCAACCGTATTTTCCTTGTTCTAACGTTTGTCTTGCATAACAAGCTTTCTGTGAAACCCTGTCTGCAGCTCAACTGACAGAGCTGTCTGTACACAACCTTTGACCAGGGACTTCATTCAAATCCTCTGACTGTGGAGAAGTGCTCAGGAGGAGCTATTGACTCAAGAACTTACAGTAATCAGCTGCAAAACCGTTGTTTCCAAAATGCAGTTATTACATTTGCGTAAACACAACAAAAAGCTCCAGGCTCATGAATGGCCAAGGTGATACGACTCCACCCTGAAAGCGATGGTGGTAACGGAATGCTGACTGCAGAGTGCTAGCAGTGCAGCCAACAAAACCTGGGGCTTTGACGGGCCTTTAATCATTCAGTTATTGCCTATACCTATCAACGGCCCATTACTTACCAGAACTGGCGTGATATACAAGAAATGAGTTCCTCATTTCAATAAAAAGAAACTACACCCTATGAACAGAATAGACTTGTCTCTTTTTACTGACATGATCCTTTGTTGTGTCAACAGCTTAATGAGCATTGTGCATTTTTAATCTTTTAAACTTTGCAACAGTAGTTACTGTATACAAAACAGTCTCTTTCATCCCCTATTTTTTGCCCCCCAATATCTTTATTTTCAGAGAATCCAGATCACTGAATATGGAAGCACAGATGCACCCAATACGATCTGTTTGGCGTAGATATTTTTTTTGCAACTGCTGTCAGAGACCATCAGAGGAGACTGAGCAGTGAAGCACCCTCATAAGAACTTCACTGTCCAGCAGTTCCCAAAATCTAGAGTTCACAGACCCTGGTCCTACCACCTCAGTGACATCTGTCATACCTTTAGTCTGACGTTTCCATGTCTCAGCTGGCACCTCAGACACTTGGAGTTGCAGGCGTGCCACAGTTGCACCTTCCAGCTCCTCAGTGCTTCATTCTCGAACTATCCATAAATTCAATAACAGGTGTGTAAAAATGATTTAGAGATAAGCAATTATCTTATTTAGTAGCTGAACAAAATACTATGTCTGACACTACAAAGAGCCAGACACCTAAAGGAATAGAGGGTTGCTGAGTGTGCAACATTTATAGTTCAGGAAACCAGTATATTCCAGTACACTGTTAACCCTACTGATTCTCACAGTTTTCACTATTGCACTGATATCAAGTTCAGTGCCTCTCCGTGCCACACACCAAATACATACGACAAAATTGGAACACAGCATGGCCCACCCGTGTGTCATTCTTGATTAAAAGTAGCACACAGAGGTATCTGTTATCAAATCTGTTTGGGTTTTTTTATCATGGTGAGGTGTTTCATACTGGATATTCCTTGTCAGCTGCCAAGGTTGAAGTTTTCTGTGCTCTACCTCGCATCAGATTATTTTGAAATTTTAAACAAGAATGGCTGCACTTTCAAAAAATGTATTTAAGTAGAAAGGCAAGTGGTTTTCCTCACAAGACAAGCTTACACCTACTTTGCTGAGAAACTCTTATTACCTTCATGCTTTATCTGAAATTAAGCAGAAGGATGGCCCCAACATAACACCCGAGTATGTTTTGATGCACCTGTCAGAAAAGGATTTGAGAAGAAGCGAGGTAGAGAGACAGGATGAGAGAAAACAGAATTAAGGAATACGCAGAACAAGAACAACAAAAGTTGAGGGTACATAAGGTAATTCAAGGGGTAAGGAGAGAAAAAATAGTGGTGATGGCAGAGGAAAGAATAACAGAGGACAGAAATTCATGAAGAAAGGGGACAAATGAAAATTTTCTATACAATAATTTGTGGTATGAATGTTCACTTACAGTCCCCATTTCTGCTGCAGGACTTGTCGAATCCTTCACTACTACTTTGAGCTAGGATTTTCTGTTTCCTTCTTTCACATCTGAATGAAGAAAAGAAAATCTGAAGCCTAAGAGATCTGTTTCAGCACTTGACTTTTATCCGAGCAGGTGAGGAAGCTCAACAATTCCGAAACTGGAAAAAAAAAAACCCCAATCCCCAAACGCTTGGGACCTGGGACAAGCAACGCAGCATGCACTGCCACCCGGAGGCAGAAAGATCCAAGTACAGCTAAAAGCAAAGGTCGTGTTTCAAACAAAAACTCTTTTGCTCCTAAATCACTTTTATATAGGATAACTAGTATTTCCACTGAGTTTTCCCTGATGAAAATCTATTAGGGCAGAAAGGACGGTCTTTTGAAAAAGGACATGGGCTCCCATTTTTAAAGACATTTATTTTATATTGCCAAAAAAAAACAATTGTGAAGGCCTTTATATCTGTACAACTTGGCACTTTCAGCGATTATCCCACGCAGTGCACAAACCCCATCAGAACTGTGTCTGTTTTCACAAGTGTCGAGATTAGGGTGACAGACACCTTCTTTAAATAAGTCAATCACCAGTTCAAGAGCAAGCCTAGAGAGGGGAAGGAAGGTATGTCTGTAGCACAGACAGGCAGGTGGAAAATACTGTGGTTCAAGGCTTAAAGTCCTTGTGGGTCTGTTCTCCACTCAGCAGCCTACGGTTTTGTGTCTGCTACCCAATTAAAACCAGACCTGTACCCTGGCTGTTCCTCTGCCTCACTCTGTCAGACCAGAGGATGATGTGAGGTAACAGACCGATAACCCTAACTCAGCACGTTACACAGACGTAAATCCACCGTTACCTAGGCAGGAGCACCTTCCCACCAGGTAACTGTGCCAAACCCTGCTGTGCTGCGTGGAGCTGGGCCTCACAGCGTGATCTAGTCCACGGTCAGGTAAAGAGAGATCTGCTCTGATCCTCACTGAGCATTTCTCAGGTTTGTGGGCTCCCATCAGTCTTTTATGCTCAGACACTAGTTCAGTTCTTTCAGGTGAGAAGCTGTAATTCATCGGTATGAGCACAGACAGGGCATTAGCTACTATTTGTTAATGATCTGCACTGTTACATTTTTATTCTCGGTAAGTTTTCCTGAAAAGTTGTCTTACTCAAAGCTTAGATACGTTTGGGCTTTAAGCTCAAAGTTTGTGATTATACAAGCTAATACTTTGAACCTAGACTGTACTTTTTAATCTGCACACTCAAATAGCTACAGAAATATTAATTTAGCTTCCCGACATCATAATGAGATATAAATTATTGTATTTGTATTATCTAAGAAAAAACTCCGGGCAATAACTATAATACAGTACTGGGCTTCACTGCACGTCCTCTAAGGATGTTTACCAATGACATTCTTGTCTTCATCATTCCTCTTCTTACTTCTGTTTTTTGTACTAAAAAAAGAGAAAGAAGCAATTATTTGTGGGAAAGAGCACATAAGTAAAAGTAACAGTTCCTACTGAAAACGATTTACAGTCTTCTTCATGATCTACATAAAATTATCTGCTTCCCTGAAGTTAGATTGCAATTTGATAGGTTTTTCCTCTACAGCATAAAATAATGCTTCTGGGCAGGCACTGTGAATCTGATCTCCTCTCACAACAGTTCAATTACCCATATTCCAATGAAGTAGACTCCAAACTCTGTGGCAGAACCAGAATGAGGCTTTTGATAATTGTAGGCTGTGACTACTGGGATTTGGCTACTGCTGTAATTTCATAATCTGTGACTAATCTGGGCTTGCTCCTGTAACAATTCTTATTTGGACTTCATGGACTGGCAGAGAGAAGAAGGACTTAACAATCATTTAGTAAATTAAATCATGGATAGATAGAGTGAGCTGAACTTTTCACTTGTTTCATTATACTCCAAGAACCCCATGTTAAAACACCATGCTCCCCAACCAGATCTAAAGCCAAGGAAGTACAGGTGCCTCCCAGCTGCCCAACAGTAACCAATCCTCATCCTTTTTTCTAAAAAGCCAGCTTGAGCGGCTGGGTGATAACTATGGCACACGTAAAACAATTAACACTATTTTGTCACTACAACGTCTAACCCTGATCTGCACAGTCAACAGGCAAAATCTGAGGGGGAAAAAAAAAAAATCTTTCTGGGAGTTTACATAACTAAGAGATGACAGACTCCTGTTAGGAAAGCAGCTAATGCATATCGACAAACTGTGGCTTGCAAAATATTGTAGGGGGTTTTTTTCCTATAACAGAGTTATATGAGCCACCACTGCTAAAATTTAATAGAATTCTTCATGGAAACTAAGATGTATACAGAGACTAACTTCAAGCATCATTGATTCTGAAAAAATACACTGAAGTTTATATCAACAAAGAGGAATTTTTAAACAAGAGCTACCACAATCATAAGTCCCTAGTGGCTAGGTATTTCCTTGCACCCAGACACTTCAACGTCCAGGACAGTTGGCTGTTCCTAACTTGCTTTGCACCATTTTCTTCTTTGATCTAAACTGAGAGTGCACAAAAGCGAGACAGTCGGATGAACTCACTTTGTTCATGACCCAGTCAGCATCTTCAATGGCTCTCTTAATAATCTGCTGGATTCGCTCGGGATCGTCCTCATCGGCATGAACCTTGAAACTCTGCAACATTCAATCGAAGCGCTACATTGACTGGCCAACCAAACGCAACAGTTGTCAAAACAAGGATGACTTTTGAATCTCAAAGAAAACATTTTACACAAATGAACTGTTGATCAGAAAAGGTAAAAATATATATTGAGGCATCCGGCTGTGCTATTTCCATACCAAGACTTGTCAAATGTAATTTAACTATTTTACTCCTTTCATACATCATGAGCAAAAAGCTTCAGGATAATTTAAATTGTCTGGTACATTAAAACTAGAAAGACATAGGACAACAGGTATTCTCAAAGGCATGAAATTACTTCCATTGAGCAATTAGATAAGGTTTACCCAGCTGGGAGGGGTAGGGGCAGGATATATTTAAAAAAAAAAACAAACCTAAAAGGAACCTGTAAGTTTCACCACAAAAGACGTGTTTAGATGAGTAAGGAATGATTGTTCACTGTCTTGACTAACATGAGAATTAGAGATGAAAACCTGGGAAAATAAAAGGCTTCAGATTCAAAGCAAATAGAAACAAACACTACCAGTATAATCCTTCAAATCTTCTAACGTTTGAAGCTTACAGAAGAATAAACTTAAGCGCCAGGAGTTATAAATAAGTTGGTCCAAACTGTAGGAGAAAAACAGCCCCTGCTCTCCAGTGCTGAACCCCAGCACCAGGAAAGCAGACCGTTTCTCACCTGCCTGATGGCGTGCCGGTAATGCTGCCGAATATTCTCTTCGGGAAGGTGCTTGCAGCAGCGCAGCAGGTAGCGGTACAGCTGCACCGAGTTCTGCACTAACTCAGCATTCGGCAGTGGGGCCATTATCAAGATCCTACCTGTTGAAAATAAACACACGAACCAACAAACCGAATGAGTTTCGTTAAAAACAATCAAGGAAGAACGTAACTTTACAACTAATGAAAACAGGGCTAGCAAATAAAGGTTTAGCAGCACAACTTGAAGAAGCTTTAGAAGAAAACACGATACGGTATTACTCAGCATTTGCTTAGTTTATGGACAGGCAGGGTTACCCACCATTGATCAAGGCACTAAAATACAAAAGTGTGCAATTCATTCAAGATCACCTTATGACAATGATAATAATGAGTATTGCAATTTTTTTTTCCAGTTTAAAAGACCCACAGCGTTAAGCTGCTATAAACACACAAAAGAGTGTCGCAGCCTCATGGGAGTTTTCCACCTGCTAAGTCACGATTCTTGGATTCATTCAAGCTTCCAGGTCTTTCTCGGGACAACCAGAAGAGCCCAGCCACACAGTGACACTGTGGAATGAGGATACTTATATTTGTTACAAGTGGTGGTGGAATCTAGCAGTGTCATTCTCTCCAGAATATCCTGTGAACTGGCCTATGAATGCCAGGCTTTACCTTGAAATAACAAGTCAAATATAAGAGAAAAACAGGCAAAAAACATTGCTAGGTTTGAAAGTTTCCACTCTTTTGGTAACGGCAACAGGAAGAGAACAAATTAACAAGTTTCACCTCCGTAACTACACTTCCATATCATAACAATAGGTCTATCCAAGCTATATAAAGTGCTAATCAAATACTGTAAATGACTTGTCATTTAGCAGATGGCTACCATCTGCAGAGAACCAAATTAACATTTGGGAAAAAGCACTTTTACATCATTACTCTTAAGGATACAGATAATAAATAAGTAGCTGAATAACGAAGTAGGTGTATGGCATTATTTTAGCACCCATTATGATACTTACTCATCATTTGGGATATTTTTTTCCTTTTTCTTAAATAATTTAAATCTTTCAGCCAAATTTGTTTCAGAACATCAGAGCTACCGCACGCTTGGGCTGTATATTTGCATTGACTGTCTCTTCTTGCAGTGAGGAAAATCTCCGCACCATTTACCTATAAAATGCCCACCACAATGGGACATGGACCATTGTAATCTGTATCTTCAGTGAAACAAAACTCCTTCTCAGTCTGTAACTGAGTGATATAAACCAGTGTACCTCTAGAGAAGTCACAAGAGCTATGCTGATTTACAGTAAAGGAGGTCACTGAAAATCTTTAATTCCAGGCATAAAACGTACGACTCTTCCACGCAGAGAAAACTGAAGGATTTTAAAACAAAAGCACAGAACACGTCTTATCCTTGCAGGATGGGCCTTTACAACATTGCTTTAGTCATGGCCCAAAACCACAGTCAAGTCATCTCTGAGCCCCTCAGTTATTTTTTTTTCCTGTTCATTACTGACAGATTGTGTGAAACCTATGCTATATTGATTTTTTTTTTTTAAAATCTAACTATCTTTTGTCAAAAGTTACATCTTGTAAAACAAGCGGGAGCTGTTCTTGTAGTAGAGCTTCTTGTCTACAGGAAAACGTGCGAGCAAAGCTCTGCAATATCGGTGCTGTTACCCGCACTGGAATTGTGCCCGCGCTCTTCCGTCACGGAGTCAGGCTCTAGGGCGGCAGGTGCGATAGATACACGGACACAGAGCTCATGAAGAAGTTTCTGCCACAAAGGATGCACAAGGCAGATGAACGACAAGTCACAAGTCACAAGATGAGGCAGAACGAGGCGGATGAGCCAAACAGGTGGGGTGGGAGCGGGGAGGAGGTGCCAGTAACAGGAGCCCGGTTTTGTGTGGACTAATGGAGCACCCCACACAGCTCACCACCTGCTCTGCGCGGCTCAGCCAGCGGGTTTTATAACATCGGTTTTTTAAGGACCTGCAGAAACATCGTGAGTCACAGCTGACGGGTGTTACGGAAGCCCCTAAGAAAGGCTCTGATGACACTTCAGAAAAAGCTCTTCTAGCGTCCAAGAATTGTTTAAGGAAGCACTTAACAGGGCTACTAGCTCATGATGCAAATTATCAAAACTAATTCAAAGATCTACAAAGGCTTAATAGGCATAAACTTTTGAAGAACGTGCACCAGGATCCCTGTCCTGTTTATTTACACCAACATCTTGCCTTGCATCTGAAGTGGGTCTGTGTAGTTCATTTGTGACTTTCCTCAGAATCACTTCAGCAACATTTTGAGCAAGCAAAGCCCTTTTCTCACAGTACTGGAGTCTATAGATTTATGACAAACGGTACTTCTCAACAGGTGCTGACCGCTGTGACTAACTCCCTAGTGAAAGATACCCATGAAAGCTACAGCAATCCCAATTTGACGTTCCGCAGCGATATGCAGTATTTTTTGTGACGGCAACGAGCTCAAGGACCCGTGTACAGTGCTGTTTACCCTGATTCCATTCCTGATGTTATTAGAAAAACAACCAACGGGAAAACAGGCTGTTGGACCCCCAGCTCTGTAAACGCCACTATAAGGGCTGTGATGACTTCCCGTTGGAGCTCAGACAACACGGCTTGCCAGCAGCCTGCACAAGATTCACCTTGGTCACATTAATTAAGAAAACCTTAATCAGTTGGCTCCTGGATTCTGTCATCACAACGTTTGCCCTCTGCCAGCTACCCACCACTCCTCCCACAGTCGACTGCTGTCCCAAAGCTAAAGCTGTCCCGGCCTCGGACAGGGCAGTGTTGTGCCGGCAGAGCTCAACCTGAGCCCATCCTCAGGATCTCGAGCTGACCCTGTGTTTCTGCACTTTGAGCTTCACAGGGTGTGCCTGGAGAGTGCGAGAGGTGAGACTTCACTGTGAGTCCTCCTGAGAGTCACTCACGGCCAATACACGGTTCCCATTGGCTTTCCTGAACAATTAGAAAACTATTCCTGCATCGTGAGGGCAGTAAGTTGGCTCAATACTGCTGCTGCAGTCGTTTCATTTTACTTGTGTTAATTCTAGTTCTGTTTTTCATATTTGTTTAGTAAAAGCCATTCTGCCTGACACACTACAGGAATTGGATAGTGTCCAAAAAACCCAACACATGTAGGGCAGAAAGATGCTACAAAAATTCAGAAATACGGAGCAACAGCTGACTTCTCAAAGTGGCTCCAGCCTGACCGAAGTCCAACGGCTAGCTCACTTCCCAAGCACTCAAGAGGTGCTAATTATGGCTTTACCTGAAAAGTTCAGCTTAAATTACAGATCGGAATATCCCCAGGTCTCAAACCCAATCCTTAGCGGGTAAGAACTGGCATAGTTCCACTGACCCTAGGAACCTGACCCCATATTTCATGTATTCCCACTAAACAGCGAGACAGTCCAGTTCAATACTGGTCCCAAAATATACTTTGGCACTAGAGCCAATTTGTTGAGTTGTTTCTAGGCTTTGATGTGTAAACTCATCATGTGTCATTGTGCTCTAATTAAATCTAAGTGCTGCAATAGATTTCCTGTCACAAAAGCAAAGATCCCTCATGTGTTAGGAATGTACAGGACAGCTTGCTTCAGCATAAAGAAAATGAGCTATAGGAGAGATCAAGAAGCCAGAGTCACAGATATATGAATATGGAAGGATTAAATTGATCAAATGAATTGGAAATGTTGTTGCACTACAGATAAGTGGGAATTTTCCACTGCAGTTACCTTTCATAGGAAAATGATGAGCTGTTGAATCCAAATCATGTGACAGATACATTTACACTGATGTATTTTAGAAAAAAAATTAAAAAAAAAAATCCTACACCTTCCCACACATAACGGGCTTCCTAATAGATTTGAAGACTGAAGTTTTTACCAGGTCTAGTTATGAAACAAATACTGTACGAGGCCCCTCACGGAAAGAAAAAAAAATAAAAAATATCCTGAGCTCTGACAGATTCTTATCTGCAATAACGCTACAAATGGGTAAGCTTCACAGGGAAACCTGTCACCGAAAGATCTTTTCTGAGAATGTAACTTCACCAGAAATCTACCACAGCACATGGAAAACAAAGGCTATTTTGGTAAAAGGGCTGTTTAATGAGAAATAGTGTCATGACCTGACCCACTACTAAGCTCCCAGGTACTGGGGCTCTGCACAATCCTGAAACCAGGCGAGGCTGCGCTGCACTTGTGCAGCCCCCAACACGGGAGAATTTGCATAGTTATTACTGTAATTTGCCCCTTGCTTGGCACAAAAAGGACAATGAAGCATAGTAAGAATCTGCACTATTGCCTTTTGTTCTAAAAACACTCCCCTTTGAATCCCACAAATGTTGCCGTTTTTATCTGCCAAGAAAAAAAAAAGCCGTCGACCTCACAAAATCTGGCTATATCCCTGACCAATAATGTAAGTCTCCTTCTGGTAACTTAAATATCATGCATAGCACAACAAACAAACTATCTAAACCAAGAACTGTTGAGTCAGAAGTAAAATAATCCACTAATTGTGCTTTTCTGGAATGGATGACTGTATAATGTTCTAATCAGAAGGCTGAAATCACATTTGCATTTAGATAAAGCCCTGTTTAAAAAGAGACAAGCATAAAAGGAGACACTGAGACTATTGTGGTATTTCTCTGCATTGCATAATCATTTACATTCCTGATAATGATATTCAGATAGTGAAGCAAAGGCTGACCAAAGCCAATTAATCTCGCACTTTGCATTAGCAAGCTTGTCAATTGACCCAGTGTACAGCTGAACCCCCGGTGACACTGGGTGACACTGTGCCACTGCTCTCAGATGCGTGTGGGCTGAGTTTTTTTCTTTTCTGCTGTTGTGTCTGTTTTTCAAGCAAATCCCTACGGTTCAACAGTTAGAATCTCAGTCCCTCCGGACTAGTTAACCAACCACCAAGGCAGGCCTTCAGAGACGGGAAGTGCTAATTAAAGGAGTGCGGGAGTTACCTGAGCTGCTGCTGTTTACAGGGGGGCTCCTCCTTCCCTCTCTTCCCCCTCGGCACAAGCTGGAGATGTATTTTATTATTACCTATTAGTATCACA